TGGGCTTTGTTGCTTCTGAGCTTGATGGCCGCTTGATTACCTTCAAGCCTTTAAGACCCCAGACCTTCCTCATTTAGTTTTATCCTGCCTTTCCAATTTAACTGTCCACTGCTCTCCATGGTTAACTTTTCCCTGTACGTCATCTTGCCTGAAGTGTAATAATATCAAGGATTTATCGATGGCCACTATACACCAGATGGTATCCTATGGGCCTAACTTGTAAATGATTTAAACTTCCCAACCATTCCACTGTCGTCACTATCTCTATGTACTTTTGAGGGGACTGGGGTACCTGGAAAAGGAAACCAACTGTCAGCGGGGTTTTTGAGGCTATAAGCTTTTTCTTTGGGGGCTATAAATCTTTATAGTAGCAGATAGCATCTTTCTCTTCAGGTTACCAACCCAACATTTACCTGGAACCACCTGGCTCCTTAACTGAGACGCAATGAGGTTAAACTAATAACCTGGAATCAACGAACTAGTCTTGGAAACCCTACCTAGGGTTGATGTGTGTTGGAATTTCCTGGATGGCAGGAAATGGGTAACATGCCTGGTGCGTGAAGGAGACAAGCTCCCTGCACTTGTTGACTAATGCTAATGAACCACAAAGATAGATAGCCCATAAGAGGCCAAAACAAAGTTTGTCAAGGGTGTGCTATTTATTTTTACTATTTTTTTGTGATAAAAGCCTCCTGTGTCGATGGACTTTTGAGGACAGGGTTCCTTTGCTTCACATATGTACACAGTGACTTGGCTAACCTGAAATGCTTTGGTTGCAAAGGACCCAGCTGTGGAAATTGGGCTAGGTGCTGCCCCAGGTGAGTGTAATCCCCTTAGCTTTGGTCCCAGCTGTAGGCAGCTGCCTAGGTTGCCTACTACCTAGGCAAGTGTTATGCTACTGGGAGAACAGCAGCCCTTACATAGCTGGCTGGCATTCTGGCCTTGTTCATTCCAACTGTTAACTAAACCAGGATGCCAGCACAGTTTCTGAGCTGTTAAATCTGCAAGAGCAGGTCTTTCACTGGGAGGGACCTACAGATTCAGGTCATCTTGGTTCTGGTCCAACAGGTTGGGCTAGTATAAATCATTTGTTGGAAAGGGTAACATATTGGGCAAAATGTACAAATAATAGGCTCTTTCCTTTGCCAGCTCAGGGTTTGTTTCTCCTTTGAGAATGTGGTGATCGCTTTTCCAAAGAGGAGGGAGTGGATGGATTTGTGCTTGAAAAGAAAGAATTTGGATGCAGCTCCATGCAACCAAACTAGAGAGTTTGGGTCTCTGGTTTGATAACTCAATTCCGTTCCAACCCATTGTGACCTTCAAGCACAACAGAAAAGGTGCCTGTGCTTGTTGTAGCAGTCACTGTCAGTCCTTACTGAAGGAAATCTTAAAACAATGGGCTTTCTTTAGTTACTATAAACATCAGTTAGTGGAAGAAAGGGGTTTACAGAAGGGCCTGTAGAAAGAAGTCCCTGGGTGGTGCTGATGGTTTGAGCCTATCAGTTACCTGGGAAGTAAAAAGAGATGACTGGGTTTTGTTTTTATAAAACATTTTGTTGGGGGCTCATACAACTCTTATCACAATCCATACATACATCAATTGTATAAAGCACATTTGCTCTCCATGTGAGCCCCTGGCATCAGCTCCTCATTTTCCCGTTCCCCCCTCCCTCATGGGTCCTTGATAATTTATAAATTATTATTTTGTCATATCTTACACTGTCCAATGTCTCCTTTCACCCACTTTGCTGTTGGAGAAGACTGGGTTTTAAGCAGACACCATTCTTGGAGCTTGACCAAGAGTTCTGGCTTAACAAGGTGCTGGAAAAACTTCTCCATCCTTTGGCCTCCCTTTATTTAATTTATTTATTTATTTTTAGCATTTTATTAGGGGCTCATATAACTGTTATCGCAATCCATACACACATCAATTGTGTAAAGCGCATTTGTACATCATTCTCAAAACATTTTCTCTCCACTTAACCCCCCGACATTAGGTCCTCATTTTTTCCTTCCCTCCCCGCTCCCCCCTCCCTATGAGCCCTTGATAGTTTATAAATGGGTATTTTGTCATATCTTGCCCTGTCCGACGTCTCCCTTCACCCACTTTTCAGTTGTCTGTCCCACAGGGAGGAGGTCACACACAGTTCCATGTAATCGGTTCCCTCTTTCCTACCCATTCTCCCTTTACCCTCCCTGTTTTGCCACTCACACCACTGGTCCTGTAGGGCTCATCCGTCCTGGATTCCCTGTATTTTCAGTTCCTATCTGTACCAGTGTACCTCCTCTGGTCTAGCCAGACTTGCAAGATCAAATTTGAGTCATGGTAGTGGGAGCGGGGAGGAAACATTTAGGAACTAGAGGAAAGTTGTATTTCTCATCGTTGTTACATCACACCCTGACTGGCTCATCTCCTCCCCGAGACCCCTCTGCAAGGGGATCTCTAGTCCTTTGGCCTCCCTTTAAAGCAGCGGTTCTCAACCTGTGAGTCGCAACCCCTTTGGGGGTCAAACGACCCTTTCACAGGGGTTGCCCGATTCATAAAAGTAGCAGCGAAAGTATTTTTATGGTGGGGGGGGCGGTTCCCCACAACACAAGGAACTGTATTATAAGGTCAAGGCCTTAAAGGATTCGCATGGCTAAAGTTTGCTCAGATGTTAATTGCTGTTTATGACTAGTGGTATCCAGAGATTTGGAGAAAGGTTGGCTTTATGGTGTACATCTCTTCTGCGGAAAGGCAGAAATCAGTGAATTCCTGAGACCAGACACCTGGCATAGATGTCAGCTTCTCTGTAGAAGAGCCACTTAGTGGAGATGCTGTTTTAGTCTGAGGTTTAAAAAAAACTTGGAAAATTAACCACATCTGTTTTCTCTGGCTTTTTGTTTTTGTTTTTTTAAGATGGCTTGACTAGAATGCATTCCTGAAGGAAGGAAATCGTGGAAGGAGTGCAGTCTGTTGTGTGGTTTTTCAGGTAAATGTCCCTAATTAGATAATGGACTATTGGCTCAGTGGTACACTTCGGGAAATAACTAGAAAGGAAAATCCACCTGTGTTTTGCCCCAAACTTGAATCACCCCAACGGTTGTCAGCTGTCCAGGCTAACACAGTACCTGGGACAGTGTTACACTGTTGGAAGAGCAAGCGCTGCCCAGTGAGGTCTGGCTCCACGCACTGTTTTAGTGTTGTGGTCGCATAACCTCTGGGCAGCATTTTGCACCTCTGAGAGTGGAGTGACTCCTCCTGTGGAGTTGGTCCTAGTCTGGATGCAAACATTCCTTACTGCCTTTATTAACATGTCCTTATTATTACTGTCTTTATTACATGATAAGTAAGAGCCCCATCTCGGGGATGGCCAGTCATTTTTCTCTTTCCTCTTCCATATTAGGCGGCTTGACCTGGATAAGAAACCTGCTTCCATCAGGACCCCGCATCTCTCGACAACTCTTGTGACACCAGATAAGTACGTGGTCCGTTTATCATGAAGGCTGTAACTTGTTTCAGCTGAGAATGGATGGAAAACTTAATATATTTTTTTTTTCATTAGCGACACTTTGACGCTTAAGTCTAAATAAACCATTATCTAACCTTTCATTTTTCTAGAGCTTCATCAAGCCTCTGGTATTTAAATGGGTTCAAGTAGAAATACAGTAAACTCAGTTTCTCTCTCCTAAGGAATTGGCCAGCTCCCTTTGTAAATGCTTTGGTGTGATGGCCATGTGAAGTAGGTAAGCAGCCCGGAGGGCGGTAAGTGTGGCTCTATTCTCATAACTTTTATTTATGGCGTGGAAATTAAGACTTTAATTTTTTTCTGTGTCAACAGGTAGTTGCCTTAGGTACCTCTAGCCGTTAAAAAATAAACCCATTTTTGCTCCAAAGCTGTTCAAGAGCAGGTGGTGAGTGGGTGGGAATCGCTGTGTAGGCTACAGTTGAACAGCTGGTTAGCAGCACAAACAGTTCCTGACCCTAACCTATGACCCTGAAAATTTCCATACTCAATACATTTCTCTTACAGTCCTACTAACCCTTTTTTAGAAGACTAGGGTAACTGATAAATTATCTCCTAGTGCAGTAGTTCTTATTTGATTAAAGACAAGTGCCTCTCTCCAGGTTCCAGGTCTGATTTGTATTATGAGGAGATATTTAAAGGTGAGTAAAACGCAGACCAATTTTACTGCCGTTGAATAAATTCCAACTTACTCATAACCACCTGTAAGAACAGGCTAGAACTGCCCCTTTAGGTTTTTGACTAGAGCAACCAGTCATTTTTCTCCTGCAGGGTTCAAACTGCCGGTCTTTCAGCAATTCAGTGTGTAGCCTACGACTGACACCAGGGTTGAAAAGGTTAGTAGGGGACTCAAATTATATAAGGCTTTCCCTGACATTTGTTAATCTTTTACATTCCTTTGATAAGTCCAAAAGAAAATAGTGCCCAAGGATTCTTTTGTGTTGATATTTTTTAATCAAGATAATAATAAGACCCAGAAGAATAAATTCTGCGAGCCCCAACGGGACTCAAAAAAGGTGGCTAAGTGCCTAGGAATTTTCACACAAAGGAAAACTACCTCCTTAGAGCAACTAATTAGAACCTAAGAGTGACAATGACTACTGTGAATCTTGTTGCTTAATTAGGGCTTTGTGAACAACTCCGGTTAATGCATATCAATATTATCTTTTGTCTAATGAACAAATTCGCTAATGCTTAGATTCTCTGCTTGCACCATCTGTCCCCCCTCCCTGCTATTTAGGAATGCTATCAGTGAGCTAAATTACTAGGTCGTATGTTTAGTGTGATTCAAAGTAGCTTCATTTTTAAAGGAGAAATATGAGGCACTCTTTCCAGAAGAGGTTTACCTCCTTCGGTACCGTAGACAGGGTTTTTTTTGTTTTGTTTTGTTTGTTTTTTCAGACAAGGTTCTTACAGGTTGACGCTGAGGCTGGCTTACCCCTTAGCATATATCTACCCCATTTGCAGCTTTCATGAGAACCACCACTGCCCAGCATTATGTTACTGCACACTGATCTTCATGTATTTCCTACCCTTTTTTTTTTTTTAATACTCCGTGCATTTTGGGGTTCTACTTAAGATAGTTGAGCCTGCTGTCTCATTTTATTGCTGTCAGCCCTTAGAAAACTGGTTATTTCTACCCTATGAGCTAATGGTAAAGGGTGAGGATTTCATACCAACTTCTGATAAGTGGGAAGAACCAAAGCCCATCTAGGCCTCATGTTAGAGATACCTTTAAGGCAGAGAACATGAGCTAAAACCTGGGCTCCCCTAAATTGAGTGGTAGGACTTCCTCTATTAATCAGTTTGTGGCATGCCTGTTTGCCGTTGGCTTTAGGAACAACTGCTCCCTGTCACCACCAGTCTGCAGACCCAGCTTTTAGCACATAGATCAATTTTCCCCCACTGGGAGAGGTCTCACCCTCCAACTTGCCCAAAAAATGTAAGCCTTGCACTTTGTCTAAACCCTATATAAATGTCTGATCACTTTAGGTGGATCTTGAAGTTCCTGGTTTGAATTGTTAAATTCTCAATAAACTTGTGTTTTAACCTCGAAACAGTGTTACAGTTTTGTTTTTCAATTTGCTCTCTTTATATGCTGCTAGAATCTAACCATGATTGGTCCTTTGGGGGATTCTCAATTCCCAGAGTCTGGTCATTAAATACCCTTTTTATGGGTTTATGGCTTTTGTGAATAGGACTGTTAGGCATTGGGGATGAGCCAGATCCCTCTGTTCACTTTATTAGCATGGCTTTCTGGCCTTGAACAGTCTCAGCCTCGACCCTCACCTCATTCTGACCTAGCCACACTGATCTCCTTTGAGTCCTTGTTCCTGAGGAACAAGGGAGTAGAATCAACCGCAACAACTCCCAAAGATGATGCCTATGGGACAGGCTTTCTGTACTCTATTCTAGCCAACCTCTCCTGTGGCACTGCGTCTGCTGAGCTCAGTCTCATTGAGCAGTGTCCACACACAACTTGTGTTATTGGGTACCACAGAGTCATTGCTGACCCATAGCTTTATGCACAACAGAATTCGCCAGTACCAATCTCACAATTGTTCCTATACCTCGGAAGTCTTCCAATTATTCACTGCCTTTCTACTTTACCAACCCTGAGGTCCTTTTGAAACATGTCCAAAGAAAAACAAGTCTCCCTATCCTAAGAAGCACTCTGGTCATACTTCAAGACAGATTTGTTTGTCCTTTTAGCAGTCCATGGTACTCTAGCACAATTCAAACACGTTCTTTTATTTTTAATCATTTTATTGGGGGCTCATATAACTTATCACAATCCATACATCAGTTGTGTAAAGCACATTTGTATATTCATCGTGCTCAATACATTTTGCTCTCCACTTAAGCCCTTGGTATCAGCTCATTTTTTCCCACTCCCCCCTCATGAACCCTTGATAATTTATAAATTATCATGTCTTACACTGTCCGACATCTCCCTTCACCCATTTTTGTGTTCATCCCCCAGAGAGGAGGTTATATGTAGATCCTTGTAATCAGCTCCCCCTTTCTACCCTACCTTCCCTCCACCCTCCCGGTATCGCCACTCTCACCACTGGTCCTGAAGGGATCATCTGTCCTGGATTCCCTGTTTCCAGTTCCTGTCTACACCAGAGAACACAATGAGTCTTATGGCTCTTTCAGATCCCCCTTTCACATGCATATGAGACAATTGTAAATACCATGCTTACATTAGTAACATCTTTGCTTTTCGGGACTTGTGCAACAGATGACCCAATGCATCACACAACTCAGACTAATAAAAAATATTGGTGTGTTGGGGCAGTTATCATTTTACCACAATTCAGGGTCAGGGAGCAATAAGGATATAGTTCTGTTGGCTGTAGCTGGCCAGGGATGTTTCTACTGCTTGTTTTTAGTCTTCGAAGGGTTACATAGCTCCTTTACAGTTGTTAGTGCCCAAAGGCTGCACCGCATTCTACAAACCAGCCCAGACACTTGCTAAGCGTTTCACACATACCATATTTGCTTAGTCTCACCAAGTCATCTAATGGGAATTATAAAGGTGGACAGAGGAACCTTACTGAACAATTTCACCTCACTGCTTTTTGCCAGTACATTTATCACCTGAAGGTTTACTTAACACTCAAGTAGCTGTATGCTTTAATGGAAAAATATTTCAGCTTGTAAATATTAATGTCTATGTGTCATAGTATATCCAAAATAGAGTAAAAACAACATACTTTCCAATATCCCAAGTTTGATTTTCATTGTTTCCGGAATTTCCAAACTTTTTCCTAGTGAGTGTTTAAGGTGCAGTGTAGTGCACAGCACTTTGAAACTACAGCTTCCAAAGTATGAAATGGATATTATGTATTACTGGGGAGTTTGCTACTAAACTTTGAGATTTGCTCATCCAAGTACATTTGGAAGCTTTAATTTATTCTACATATTATAGTTAGAAAATTTGTGAACTATATGCAAATTGTAGCTTGCAGATCGTCTCTTTGTAGCAGGCATAGCACTGCCGGTAGATACCAAGATAAAACCTATGTCATTTGATTTGAGAAAATCTGTACAACCTCCAGCGGGTGAGGTAGTTTTTTAGTTTAATGCACACCCAAGAGAAGGACTGCACAATTAGGCAACCAAATCATGATGTGAAATAGTTGTCATTTTATTGGAACATACTTGTTTACATTGGCTGCTGTTACTAGGAATACAGAATTATTTGTGGCAGAGACCAAAGGACGCTAATCCTACTCTGACTCTGCTGTACGTGACTGGATGGACTGCTAAGCACAGTTCAATGAAACTTCCTGGACTTGGTGGTGGTGGTGGTATACACAGATGGGGCTGGAATTCCAAGACTGTCTAGTCTCAGCACCCTGGCACCGGTTGTCTAAAGCAAAAACCCATAGACAGGCAGACAAGCACTGCAGAGGGAGGAAATTGACAGCACAAAATGAAAAAGCATTGATAACTATACTACTTTCCTTTTCATTTGGGACCAGTGGGGGATAATAGCCTTAAATTTCCTTCTGTTATTAACCACACAACGCTAGCAGCACCAAAATCCCATGACTTGTGATGTGTCTGTTCTGTC